GGGCCCGGGCTGGGGATTCGAACCCGCCACCTTAGGTGTATGTGGCTGGCGCCTTAGCCGCTTGAGCCACAGGCGCCCAGCCGCTTTGGGTTACTTTTTGACCCCTGACCTCGTCCCAAAGAGGGATTCGGGTGAAGCGCCCTGGCAGGCGCCTCGCTCCTTGCCGTGCCCGTGAGCAGTCTACTAGGTAAGTATCCACCCCGCGGCAGTTCCGGGGAGGCCGTTAGTGCCCGTGACCTCCGACCCCAGCCCGAACTCCCTCAGAGGTCACTGCCTCCGCCTAACCTCCCCACGACCGCGTCCCGCCCCCTCCCCGTGACGAGCGCCCCACAGACTAATGAGAGAGCCGTATCTACACGTAGGGAGGGGCCTAGGGCTGACCAATCCCCGCTCGGGCGTCCTCCTGGGTCCAAACGGTGCAATCATCAGCGGCAGTGGAGAAGGCCGAGGGGCGAGGCCTGACTGCTCAGCCAACGGGCGGGCACGTCGGCGCCACCCGGGGGCGTGCCCTGCGGCGGGGCGTACGGCGGAGGCGCAGGGAGGGGAGGGAGGTAAACAAGATGGCGGCGGTGTGTCGGGCTCGGAAGGGGGAGGAAGCTGAGCGCTCTCTGGAGTGAGGCGCGGGACAGCGGCGGGAAGGCGGGTGCGGCCGGCTGTTGCCGCGGCCTTGGATGGACTGGGCCCCCCTCGCCGCTCCGCCTATTCCACACTCGCGGCGGCCGCGGCGAGGGGGACGCGCCGCCTGGGCTTCGGCAGCTTCGAGATCCCCCCGGCCCGGAACCTGCGGCCTGTGCCGCCTCGGCCTCCCAGAACTCCGCGGAGCCCCCGTCGGCCTGCGGCTCGGTCGCTGAGGGCACTCGGGTCGTGGACTGAGCCAGCCGGACGCTCGTGGGGCGGGTGCTCGCCGGACGGTTTGGGGGCGTCCCGCGCCTCAGGGCCGGGGAGGCCGCGCGGGTCCAGACCTCGTGGGCGCCCGAAGCGGCTGGACCTCAGTTGAGCTGTTGGTTGTGGCGGGGGCGTGCCAGAGAAGCCCCCAGCCTCTCGAGATCCTCCACTGTAGGCAAGAGGGCGCTGCTCCTCAGTGGTCGGGATTGGCGACGGCGGCGACCGGCTGACTGCTCGCGCCTGGGACGGGCGGCTGGAGCGCAGGGGAGTCGCTGGAGGACCTCCTAGCAAAGTTTGTTTTCTCAGGTGTGGGGGGGGGTCCAGGGCCATAGCGAGCAGCACGGACCTCTCGGCGTGCGCCACGGGCCGGTGGGATGGACGGCCCAGAGAAGACTTTGCTTGGCCGTTTCTGTGCTTGCCCGCGGGTCTGAGGTCCCTAGAGGATGACCTAGCACCAAAGAGCCCCGGTCGGCCTCTCGAGGGCCCCCGTGGACTAGCTGACCCCAAGGCCTCAGTCCGGGTCGCGCCCTAACTCGCATTAGAGCCACCCTCCTGGACGCCTGGCGCCTGCGGGCGCAGCAGGCCCAGTACCGGGCTCGCAGCCCGAACTGACTTTTAGTACAATCGTTTCTGTTCAAAGAAAGATTTTTCCCTTTTGGTGGTTTTCGTTGCTTTTTCTTTTCCTTTTTCTTTCTTTTTTTTTTTTCTTTTTAAAGTTTTGGAGAAGGGAAGTTGGGATACAAGCAAGAACTGTTTACCCCCAGGAGGGTACGGGCTCGCCAGAGGGACGCCAGGGCTCCGTGTCCAGGATGGATGTGGTGGACCCGCAGCAGTTGGGCGTGTTCTCTGAGGGCGAGCTGATTTCGGTGGGCATGGACACGTTTATCCACCGTATAGACTCCACGGAGGTTATCTACCAGCCTCGCCGCAAGCGGGCCAAGCTCATCGGCAAGTACTTGATGGGGGACCTTCTGGGGGAAGGCTCCTATGGCAAGGTGAAGGAGGTGCTAGACTCAGAGACGCTGTGCCGGAGGGCGGTCAAGATCCTCAAGAAGAAGAAGTTGCGTAGGATCCCCAACGGGGAGGCGAACGTGAAGAAGTAAGTGGGGCTTTGTGGGGTGAGCCGCAGATTGTTGGCTCTTCCTTCCTCCTCACTTCCCTTCCTTTCTCCTGTCTGTTCCTTCTTCCTCTCCTCCCTTCCTTCCTCTTATAAAATGGAGCTGGTGGGCCAGTCCCCTGTTCTCTGTGCCAAAGGAAGTGTGGTTGGAAACCTGCATGAAGACTTTCACCAAGTCAGGGTCAGTTGTTGCAGTGTTATGTGTTTGCTTGGGCTCTTAGACCCCAGGTAAAATGCCTTGGTAGCAGCAGTCCCTGGAAATAGGGTGCACCCACTCCTCCGTCCACTTGGCCCTTCCTGCTGTCCAGAGAATATAGGTGCTCAGATGAAACTGCTTGTATGTGTTAGGGTCTTGGGAGTTTGTGCTCTGCCGCCAGCAGGTTTTCTGTGCAGTGTGTGGCTGTTACCAGGGCCAGGCAGAATGTGATTTGTTGATCTTGTTGGAGGGGAACCCTGCAGTTGCCAAAAATAATTGTTTGCACCAGCTTATCAGTCAGCAAGAGGCAAACTCAGCCCTTTCTCGCTGGCCTGGGTTGTGGCACTGGAAATATCCCTGGCTTAGGTGCTGGCATCCTTCCCTAAAGGGGGAATCTACTTTCTGTGCTGCTTTCTACCTTACTTTTTTTTTAAAAACAAGAGAAAAAAACCCACACAGGATTCAGTCTTAATTTTTGTTATTCAAAAAAAGCTTCATTTTCTTATTTAGCTTTCTGACTCTGTGCTTGTGCCTTCAACACTTTCACCATGAATTTCTGCTCCTCAATAAGGAAAGCAGGCTTGATTCTGTCCTGAACACATTTACACATTTAGCACACATGGAATCACCATAGGCCCTGCTGACGTGTTTTTTTTTTTTTTAAATTGAATGGTAACTATGTATATTAATGCACTTCTGGGGTACAGTGTGGGGTTTTCACACACAATCCGAAACACTTCCATCAAACTGGTTAACATAGTCTTCGTGTCGTTTTCTTAGTTATTATTTTAAAACGTTCACATTCTGCTCTTAGAAAGATTCACTTGTACCCTTGTAAGATAAACCTCAGAAGTGATCCCTCCAATCCCCCTCCCTCTACCCGTTCCCCCCTCTCCTCTTCCTCCCCCCTTCCCATATTCTTAGGCGGTTATTAGGTTATAGCTTACATATAAAAGGTATAAATTAGTTTCATAATAGGGGTGTGTACATTGGATACTTTTTCTTCCATTCTTGTCCTTTTTTTTTTTTTTTTTAAGACAACCTCATAAGAACTTTAAGTCTCACACCGTGAACCCCTTGAAGTCTGCCTGGGCACACACCACATGCAGATTTTGGTGCTTTCCCAACCTTCTTGGTATAAAGGTAAACAATTCTGTTACCAGGGGTTCGAGATAGCCTGGTTTTGTTAGAGACTGTATTGTAGGAAAGCCTATGATGGTACCTCAAACGCTGCACCATTTTGAGTGCCTCTAGACAGCATCCCCGGAAGAGGCTACCTTACTTTTTCAACATACTTCTTTAGCTGCATCCCAGACATGTCCAGATCTATGGCTAAGAAGCTCCTCCTAAGGACAGCTTAAGGGGTGCCCCTTCCTTATCAGTACCAGATGCTCTGTACCCGCCCTTCCAGAGCCCCTGATTCTCAGTGCTCTTAACTTTTAAGACTTCACCTCCCTTTTCTAAGAAAGGACCTTACTTATCTCCCAGGCTAGACCCGGGACTGTTGGAGACACCCTGTAGGGATAGACATGACCTTGGGAGGAGGTCCTGGGAAAGGCTGCTGCCTGTGTCTGCTCTTGCCTTCCTCATTCCCAGAGGCCTGGCGGGCTCTTGCTCAGTTTAACTAGCATTTGGGGAGAAACCAGAGTGACATAGGCTCCAAAGTTATCACGTGAGGAGCTGGAACTGTTGGGTTTAAAATGGTACCAATTGGAAAGGTTGAGGTGTTTCCCATAAGGCTTTTTAAAGTCTTAGTGCCCAGGTTCGGCGCCTGTAGCTCAGTGGCTAGGGTGCCAGCCACATACACCAGAGCTGGTAGGTTCAAACTCAGCCTGGGTCTGTCAAGCAACAGTGACTACTACAACCCCCCCCCCCAAAAAAAAAAT